GGGTGTGCATGCACTGGCCTGAGTGCAAGTGTGCGGCTGCCTCTCTCTTTCGCGTGTCTCTACAAGGGGGATATTAACATTTAATTGATTATGTCAATTCTTTTGGGGCTTTGTCTGGCGCTCTCCCATTTCTGTTTATTCTTTTGTGGGGCTGGCGTCCTAAAAAAGTCCTACATAACACTGTGCATGCATCTTGGTGTTGCATGCATGCATGCGTTTTAAACAGAGATTTGCTGCTTTTGTTCTTCTCTATTGCCACTCACAAGCTTCTGTATTCATTTATCCTGCGTGGATGCATGCATGGATGCATCCATGCATGCGGCACAATGCATGCACTTATGCATGCACCTGTGCATGCGTAAGTGTTCTTATGCAGTGCATGCACTTTTGGGGCTTTTTTATTGCGAGGTTTGCTTGGGAAGTGTATTTTCTTTTTTTCGTTTATTTTTCTGCTTTCTTCAGGCCATCAACCGCATCAGTCAGAAGATAAAAGAATACAGAGGCGGAGACTTCAAACAACAGGGAGAGGTGAGATATAATGGGGCTGTGCTTATCCTGCATGCATGCATGCATGCATGCATGCAGAGATTTGCATGCATGCATGCATGCAGGCTATATTGAGTCCGTTTTTGTCTCCATTTCGGTTTTTTTTGTTGTTGCGTGTTGCATGCAAAGACGATGCTGCATGCATGCATGCATGGGATGCGGAGTTTTGTACGATTTATATTGAATGATTGATCAAGTTTATAATAAATATATATATATATATATATATATTATATTTTATATAAGCCCCATCGTGTTGCGCGTTGGTAGTTGGGTGTGCATGCACTGGCCTGAGTGCAAGTGTGCGGCTGCCTCTCTCTTTCGCGTGTCTCTACAAGGGGGATATCAACATTTAAATAATTATTGCAATTGTTTTGGGGCTTTGTCTGGCGCCTCGCTTATTTTCTTTTTATTGAGGTGGCGTCCTGAAGAAGCCCTACATCTCTACTATATATATATATATACATATATATATATATACGTGTATATATATGCATACATATACATGTTTATATATACATATATATACATGTATATATATATCTATTTATATATTTATGCATGCATAATTATTATTGCATGCATGCGTGTGTATGCGTGTATTAGAGTATTTGTTTTTTGCATTTGTTAATGAGTAATTTGTTTTGTTTATTTTGTGTATTTGTTTTAGATAATGGTAATGGGGACAGAAGAAGAGAGACGTTTGGAGGAGCTTTTATTATCAGAGTCTTCAGAGTTTGAAGAAGAATCGCAAGCAAGTGAAGAAGAAGACGAAGGCATGGGCAGAGTAGAAGGAGATATACCTCAGGATGAGATTGAAGAAGAACCAGAAGAAGAGACGCCTGCAGCATCATAAATATATATATATATATATATTATATTATATATATTATATCTAGTATTTATAGTATAATTTAATATAATTATATATGTATATATATATATATATTATACTGCAAGTGTTTCCTCGTCTTGCTGTATATATATATATATATATATATCCAGCTGTGTATATATTGCTTGTATAATATATAAAAAAGCAATTAAAACAATTAAGATGATTAAAAGAACAAACGAAATGAACAAATGATGTAAATTATCACGGGGGGATTGTGAAGAAAGGAGATGTTTTTTCTTCTTCTATACAACACAACAGCACATCTCTGCATTATTATTGTTCTTGCTATTATTATTAATTATTAATAAATAAATAAATAATAATAATTATATTATTATTATTAATATTGGGTGTGTTGTTGGTGGGGGAGAGCCTTGCAAAGGATGCGGCGCATGCAGTGTGGAGTGTAAGAAGAGATGCCTATACACCTCAGCAGAATGAAGAACAAGAAAAGCAAAAAAGCATAACTGTCTACTGCGGCTGGCCCTAATACCGCATGCATTCGCATTGCATGCATGCAAACAAATCGCAGCCCCAAACGCCCTTCTTGTCTTCCACGCGGGGTTGCATGCATCTATTGCATGGATGTTTTGCATGCATGCAATAGATGCATGCATGTTTGCATGCAATAGATCGGTGCATGCAGAATGCATGCATGCATGCATGCAATAGATGCATGCATGCATTCTGCATGCATGCAGCCCCAGGGTGTGTATTGGTGGGGTTGTTGTTGTCTTTGTGTTTTGTTTGGTGATGGCAGCTGTGGAGTGTATAGACAGTAAAATATTTTAAGTGCGTTTGGAGTTCTTTATCGCTCCAGCATCGCGCGACTATGCCGCTATTACAACAAAAAGCAAATTATTATTAAAGAGTATTTATATAATATTAGAGATCATTTATATTAGATTTAATGCATAGTACAAATTGCTTATACAGTAGATGTTCTATATATTACAAATAATGTATACAATTAATGCAATATATATTACACAAAATGTATATAGTACATACCATAAATGTAGTGTATATATATGTATATATATATATATTTATATGCACATATATGCATATATACATATATATATACACGCATGTATGCATATATGCGTTTTCTTTCATTATATATATATATATATATATATATAAATTAATATGTGCAGAGATAATAGGAAAAGACAGAACATAAAATCATAATTAGCTTAGTAGGCAGCCACCACTAGAACAAAGCATGCACGATTCAATACAATAAACATCCATCCATGCATGCAGAGTATGCATGCATGCAAAGTATGTTAGGAGAGAAACATTTATGTTAGGAGAGAAACATTTGGGGCTGCAGAGGCAACAAGAGCGGTGTAGCAACAAAGCAATTCGTTTGTTTTAATTAAATTTATGTTGTTTATTTTTATTTTTATTTTTTGTTTGTTTTGGGGCTTTCTTAATGTTCTGTGCGTTTGGTTGGGGTGTACTTTCACCTGTCTCTGTCTATTCTTTGAAACTGTTTATTTGCTGTTTATTTTTTATTGCATTTGTTTTTGTTTTTGTGTTTTGTTTATTCATGTCTCAGTCTTTGTCTGTTTGTAGTTGCATTGTTTGATTTGTTTTTGTTTGTTTATTCACTCAGCATGCACCTTCTATATATATATATATATCTATTTATTTATTATTTATTTATTTATTTATAGCTGTATCTAAACATATATATTATATAAAATGCAGTTATTGTTTAATTGCTGTCTTTTGTTTGCAGTGTTGCAAACGAAGAAAATTCGTCTGTCTCCAAAATACTCAAACACATCTCCACCTTCTCAAAGGCAGGCAGCAGCATCTCTGCATGCGCTGCATCTGCTGCATGCGCTGCATCTGCTGCATGCGCTGCATCTGTTGCATCTGCTGGCTGCATCTGCTGCATGCGCTGCATCTGCTGCATGCGTTGCATGCGTTGCATGCAGAGTTGTGGGGTGTTGTGTGTTTGTGTGGTGTGTTTGTGTATGTGGGGTGTCTGTACAGCTGAGCGTGTCTTTGATAATAGGAGAGTTAAGCCATGCGTCTTTAAGCTGTTTTAAAGGCGTCTCTTCTTCAATTAGTCCGGCATCAACAGCAAAGTAAATTAATTTTTTAAAACAGTGATTAGCAACAGCAACAGCACTGTGCTGCTGCAGCAGAGATAAATGATATAAATAAATATGCGCGTAGCAGCGCAGCAAACGACGCAGGATTAGCGAGGCAGTTTGCCTTAGCTCTTCTTCTGCTGCTGCTGTTGCTGCTGCTGCTGCTGCTGCTGCTGCTGCTGCTGATGCTGTGGGGGACGCAGGGAAGAGGCGAGGGTCTTCCAGTTGTTTAAAGGCCCACGAAATTGTTGCAGACATATACTCTCGTGCTGTTGGGGGGGTTGTTTTTGTCTCCTTTGCTGCTGCTGCTGCTGCTGCTGTTGCTACTGCAGGTGGTGTTGCTGCAGTTGCTGCTGCAGGTGGTGGTGGTGTTGCTGCTGGTGCTGCTGCTGCTTGCTTTGCCTCTGTTGTTGTTTGATTTGCCTCTGTCTCCGTTTCTCTTTTGATGTTTGTCTCCTTGTGAGCTGTTGCTGCTGCTGCACCTGCAGCCCCTACCTCTTCTGTCTCTTCCGCCGCTGCTGGTGCTGCTGCTGCTGTTTCTTCCTCCTTCGCTGCTGTTGCTGCTGCTGGTGCTGCTGCTGCTGCTTTACTGAGTCGCCTATGCGTGGCAGACTTTCCTGTTGCAGCAGCAACAGCAATGAGGGGATCGAGTAGGTTGGCTGCATCTGAAGTGTATAGGGAGCTTGTGCTGCTGTCTTTATTGTTTGCTTTATTTTTTTTGTTGTCTGTTCCTGTAGGCTGCAGCCCCATTGCTGTGCATGCGCATGCATCATACACAGAAGAAAATAATAATTGCGCGTCTTCCACTGCTTGCAGCAGCAAAAAGCGAAGCCAATCGCTTGCATGCACAAGTTCAGGGGGCTGTAGGGCGCTCCTCAGCCCTTTATCGCCTAGAGAGTGCAGCAATGCTGCAGAAGGAGACATAGGAATTGCTGCTGCTGCTGCTGCTTCTTCTCCCGCTCCTGCTGCTCCTGCTGCTGCTGATGATGATGAGGGGGTTGATGTACCTCTTGCAGCAAGAAGAGAAGGGGAAGCCGACCAAAGAAGCAGCCTCTGTGTCTCTCCGAGTGCTGTACTCGTAGCCTTTAGGCTGTCCATGCTGCTGCTGCTGCTGTTGCTGCTGCTGCTGTTGGTGTCGGGCTCCTCTGGCGCAGCACAAAAGGGGCCCAACGTGCAGCGTCTGCTGCTGCAGTTGGATTTCATTGTTGCTGCTGAGGGCGCTTCAGAGCACAGTGAAATACACAGCAGCGGCAACAGTAGCAACAGCAGCAGCAGCAGCAGCAGCAGGGTGAAGGACCTTTGAGTTGAGCGATTGACTGCTCTTATTTCAGCTCAAGTGTAAATAAAAAGAAGACAAATAAGAGGGGTTGTAGTAGTTGAGAGCGGAAGGTAACGGTGGACCTGCGGTAGACAAAATGGAGGGAAACCAACTGCAAATCACCGTTCGTTCGTCTCTAAATTGATTTAATATGTTAAATTCGTCAATGTTATTTGCTTTTTAATGATATTATTTTGAAAAGAACAACAAAAACGCAGAAAAAATTGCAGTCGTTTCACCGCAAATGAGAGAGGAGTGTCGGCGGTGACCGCCGTACGAAGTTGGGGTGTATGCGCAGCTCAGCGGTGTTTGTTGGTGTTGATTAATAGAGAAAAAAATACGTAAATAAAGTAAACAATGCAAAAAAAGAATTATTTATTATTTATTTATCAATTAATGTTTGTATTTCACAAGGAAACTCGATTCAAATTTATTGCTGCTTCTTCTCCCCATGCACACAAACCGCAAGTGCCCTGCGAGTCCGCAGCTTAATGAAATTTCCTTAATATTCTTTTTTAATTGAAATAATTAGATTAAATTAATTAAAACAACCAAATAATGCTATTTTTTTTCTCTAATTACCTTCTGTACCGTCGGCTCTACAGCTGACTATACACCCTACATACTACTCTCCGCTGGCAGCAATTTTCTTTTTGTGTATCTTTTTGTGCTTTTCCTTTCTATTTCCTAAATGAAATATATCCACTAAAAGCGTAAGGAGTCGTTTTTGAATTTATATAGGCTAATGTTTACTCCAATTCCCTCAGAGAGTTCGCCCTAGAAGAAACAAACAACAAAAAGAAAGAGAGCGAAGCAGAGTGCCGCTGCACTTAGCAGCGCTACCATTTATTATTTATTTATCAATTAATGTTTGTATTTCACAAGGAAACTCGATTCAAATTTATTGCTGCTTCTTCTCCCCATGCACACAAACCGCAAGTGCCCTGCGAGTCCGCAGCTTAATGAAATTTCCTTAATATTCTTTTTTAATTGAAATAATTAGATTAAATTAATTAAAACAACCAAATAATGCTATTTTTTTTCTCTAATTACCTTCTGTACCGTCGGCTCTACAGCTGACTATACACCCTACATACTACTCTCCGCTGGCAGCAATTTTCTTTTTGTGTATCTTTTTGTGCTTTTTCTTTCTATTTCCTGAATGAAATATATCCACTAAAAGCGTAAGGAGTCGTTTTTGAATTTATATAGGCTAATTTTTACTCCAATTCCCTCAGAGAGTTCGCCCTGGAAGAAACAAACAACAAAAAGAAAGAGAGCGAAGCAGAGTGCCGCTGCACTTAGCAGCGCTACCCCAAGTTGTGCTGCAGTATTTAAACAAAACCGTAAAAAGACAAAAAAGAAGGGAAAACAAATATAACGCAGACCCGCGAACAAACAAACAAACAAACAAACAAACAAACGAACAAACAAACAAACAAACAAACAAACAAACAAACAAACAAACAAACAAACAGACAAACAAACAAACAAACAAGCAAAGAAAATAAAATAAAAGAATGAAGAGA